GGACAAAATATCATCGACAGGAACAAAGTTCTCTTTTGTTTTAGATGCTGATGCAGATCTAACACTATGAGCCTTAAAAATAGTAGTATCAACACCTGCAGAACACATCATTGTTCTTATCCAACGGGCAACAGTATCTCTTGATACTTCCTTGTGTGGTTGTACATAACTGATAAAAAGTGAATCACACTTACTTCTAATTCTTGCAGTCCTTGATAAGTATTCACATAAAACAATATATACACAAAGCCTCCTATCTGGAGGATATGATTTCAAAACCATGTCAGACATACTACTGTTAGGTCTACATGTTTTCAATAAATCACTAAAAGTAAAAACAAAGCTATTTTTTCTTCTCGTCATATTACTAAGTTTCATGCATGAAATAGTTTGTACTCGACTTGCACAAATTAAACTAATTAACATAACTAACTTCAGTGTCAAATCTTTCAAACTTAAGTATTTTACAGGTGACAATTTTCTCAAATACTTGATAACAATAGATGCATCCCAAGTATGTACATACCGAGATTTTGATGGTCTCAAATTAAAAACACCCTTCATAAATCGTATTACAAGTGGATGACATCCAACAGTGAAACCCATCAAAAATCAGTCCAACAGAAGATACAGCCCCTCGGGCAGTATTAATAGCACTATACCCTAAACCTAGGCAAAAAAGATGTGCTAAAAATTCAATAACAGTTTCTATAGTTGTACAAATTGGATAAATCGATTTTTCACTACAGTACTGAAACCATCTCGTATAAAATGTTTTATATTGTTTCTTGGTTAAATAAGCTGCTGCTTGATGAGAAATTCCTCGTTTTTGGTACTGCAACCGGACAATCGACATGCCATCAGCACTAACGAGTCTTTCAGAGGATGCTGCACATCTGTGCCTGGAAGTGTCAACAGATTGTCCATCACAGGTAAAATCACCGGATGATCCACCAGTTTTTCTAACACACGATTGAACCATGGCTGTGTTGGCCACACTGGAGCCACCAGTACACACTCTGCTTGGTCCTGACAAATCTTCCTCACCACACGTCCAATGAGGCTGAAAGGAGGATTAAGATAACCATAAATGTTTGCCCATGAAAAACTAAATGCATTAACATAACGGGCATCTGGATCTGGATGCCAAGAACAATATACATCAATTTGCTTATTCAACCTTGTAGCAAACAAATCAATTTCAGGTTGTCCCCATCTTAAAACAATTTTATGGAACACAGATTTGCTCAACATCCATTCTATTTGATCATCAAATTTGCGCGACATCATATCTGCTATCAAATTATCTTTACCAGGAATGTGCCATGCACTTAACCACAGATTCCTATGCATACTCCATAGCCAAATTTCTTTTGCAAGTTTATCACATTTTTTAGAACTAATACCACCCATGTTATTGATGTAGGAAATAGCTGTGGTATTGTCCATAAATAATTTGACATTTTTATTTGTTACATCAGAACAAAAGCATTTAACCCAAAAAAGCAGGCTAATAATTCTAAGTAATTGATATGATTTTCAGATTCATCTGTTGTCCATCTACCCCCTGATTTCAATTCATTCATAACAGCACCCCATCCAAGATGAGAAGCATCAGAAGTTATTGTAAGATCATAAGGTTCATGCAAAATTCTTCTAACTGATGAAGAAATATTAGAAATCCACCAATCTAATTCTAATTTCATTTCTTTAGTTATAATCATGAATGCATCATAGTCATGTTGTGATTGTACAAGTGCATCAGTTTTTGCTCTTTCCATATCACGATAAAACAGCTGACCAAATTCTACTGCTGAAAAACTAGCCACGACCAGTCCAATGACCTTTGCAACTTCTCTAATTTTTTCTCTTGATTTTGTTTGTAATTTTTTACATGCCTCTAAAATAGATTCCTTTCTTTCTTCAGTAAGAGAAACTATATACCCAATAATGACATGTCCTAATCTTCTAAGTGTTGCAAAAACAGGCTTCAATAGTTTTGTAAAGAGTCTAGGTGCACTAGCTAACCCTTGAGCGAGACAAGTATACTGATAAATTTTATTTTTCCATATGAATCTAAGAAACTTTCTATGTTCCTCTGCCACACTGACACTATAGTATGCATTGCTAAAGTCAACACTAGCAAAATAACAACCTTGAGTCACTAAATCAAGAGCACTCTCAAAAGTATCCATTTTAAAATGGTGATAAACAATGTTTTTGTTAAATTCTTTCAGGTTCAAAATGACTCTATAACTACCATTCTTTTTAGGTCTAGTGAAAACAGTGGAAATGAAACCATCACCAAGGTCTACATTTTCAGACAATTCTTCAATTACATTCATATCTAATAAAGATTTAATTTCTTTGTCAATCACACATGATTCAGTTGAACTAAAACGTGGCTCAAAAGGTTTTGATTTTTGTACAGGAATTTTATCATCTTTAAATTCCAAGTGACAACCTTCACAATATCTAATATACTTTTATCTGATGTTAACTCTTTCCATTCAGAAATGAAATTTTTTAGTACACCTGCTCTAAATTCACATACCTTTTCAACTACTTCTGGAGGCGACTCTGCAAGCCTCTTCGCTGGTAGTTTTTTGAATCAGATGAGAAGGATGCAGCATTCGAGTAGGATCCACGACCTCTTGCAGCTCCTCGGACAAAGCGTCCACGTGATCGTCCACGTGATCGTCCCCTCATAAAGCGACCACGGAAGCTCCCTCTATATCCGATACCAATTTTGTTGCTGATTTTGGAACAATCTGTGATGTCTTTTACAGTTTTAGGGACATCGTCGCCAAACAAATAGTCTGTATACTTTAAATTATGACTACAAAGATGAGTATATTCACCCTTCATATCAGGTTTCATAAATTCTCTACGCAACATACACAACTGTCTGTTGACATGCCCCAGCAATGCCAATGATTCCATAGCATTTCCCAAAAGGTCTAAAATCTCGGGATTGTCACTCTTACCGAGCAAATAAGTCATTTTAGTGAGTGCAAAAGCACCCTTGATCAACGAAGTCTGAACATTTTGCATCTTCTTATCGGAAGATTTTGTAGTTGGGCTCAAAAAATCCCAAACCATTAGGTTAGTTTTCACAGTCACTAATGCTGAACAGTTTTCAGGACGATTTGTCGTTTTTAGAAGCTCATTATATCGTTCTTCCTCGATTCCCTCTCGTAACCAATCTGTCACGAGATTAGCTAGTTCATCATCAATCGATTTATCACAAGTCTCTTTAACTTTAAGTTTCTTACCGGCATTGACGTACTTGTTTTCCGTATCAGTCAGAATATCGTCTAATGCGCGCTTCCTCGAAGCTGCTTCACCAGAAGTACCCGGTTCATCCGGGGTATCGTCCTGACGATCTTCATATTCTTGGTAATCATAATCATACAGATTTTCTAGCTCTGTCATACGATCGTCTTGTTTCTTTTAATTCTCTTGAATCGGTTTTAATATGTTGAGAATCTCATTCTCGTTATTTGGCGCGGAACTATCATGTCCTCCGCCATGACCACGAGAACATGTGGAAGTGCCAGTCGAAGTCGACGAACTCGACGACGAACGTAAGTTAGACGGTGTCTTCTCCGAAGACGATGGTTTGTTCGGGGTTTTTTCTTTCCCTTGACCGGTGCTTTATCATCGTCAGGGATAGGAACATCCGCCATGACGCACGTGGTTTGAACTTTCAAAACCGATGAAAAAATATCTGACCACGTCAGACAAAATCGCCCCCGAATACTGATCTGACCACGTCAGAAACGATAATGAACTCTGAAAAAGTTCTAAGAATATATTGACCTCGTCAATATGTAAAAATATGTCAATAATGATCGAGCAAGTAAGACCACGTCTACTTGCTCCAGCTACTTGCAGTTCAATGACTTGGCGGCTGCGCAGTACTATTCACATTATCTTGGAAGTGATGTTTATGAAAAATAATATGCCTTATGCGGCTTTCAAGAAAGAAAATCGACAGTAAACTTACCTATCCCGCATGTTGACAAACAGCCTACACACCATCCAGGAAGTTGCATCATGCGCACCTGAAATTGAAAGAGTTCCTTTTAATTCAGTGGGATAATTCTGCTAAAGAAATGATATTCCTAGTACATGAGTCCAATTTTAATACTGTAGGCCTAAAACAAATTGCCAAAAATGAAAAAAGAAAAAAAAATTGTCTCTATATATATGGAACTTCAATTGACTAAGTTCATTTTGATTGGCTATTTCCTTGCGTAAGACCTTAAGCTCAGTTTCATTAAATCATTCAAGATATTTTTATCAAACATAATATGCTAATATGTATTAGTGAGAGCTATTCAACTGCATCAAAAACTTCACCTTGCACATTCCTGTGACCTTGACCTCCCTCCTCTTTAATTTGCTTAGTTTTAAAGAAATAATTTAAGACATTTTTATGTTTAATTAGCAAGCACTTATACATAATTTGGTGAGAATGTATAATCTATTATACGAGGGTTGATCCAAAAGTTCGTGGAATTTCTTTCTAAAATTTTATCGTGATTTGATAAAAGCAAACAATAGGCATATTTATAAAAAAAAGACATATTGCAACAATACTGGAAAATTTCACTACGTTCCAATTACCAATAAGGTCACACGAGCTTTCTGAAAATGGATAGTTGTGAAACCCGGGGGAGACTTCGACGTAACGTCGAGTTAGGTATGTCACGTCACATTAGAGAAGCATCTCACCCTAATGTCCAATTTGAACATGCAATTCTACATAATGCTGCCCTTTTCTCCATTTTTTTTTCTCAAGAAAAGCCTGGGTATCCTCTCACACCAATTTATCTTCATTTTTTACTCATATTTCAAAATACCACCCATCTTTCCATATGGAGCGTCTTTGGGCGAAACTACTAAGAACGAACAAGGTCTCCCAGGAACTTGTTCTTCTTGTTCTCAAGAACATAACGCCCTAACAACAAGTTGATATTAAGAACAAAAACAATATGGCGTCTTTATTTGGGAAATATTACTTTTTGGAAGAATTTTTATTAGAAAAGCAACTTCCCTGCTTATTTAATGACCCTGTACCAATATTTTCGTCAATATCAGCAGGACAAAATGACCCAAGACCTAAAGTGAAAGATTTTGTGGACAATGTTGTTGATGTATGGTCGGAGAGCGAGTTTAGAAGACACTTAAGAATTAGCAAAACAATGTATTCTCATTTATTAAATGAATTTAGGGACCCTTTGAAGAAAATCAATCATGGGGGCTATATCCCAATACCACCCAAGGATCAACTTTACATATTCATTTGGTATTTGGCGAATTTAGACAGTCAGAGAGAAATAGCTCTGCTTTTTGGCGTAAGCGAGTGGTTTGTACACACCTGTATTAAAAATGTTGCAGAAATTTTAAGCGCAAGGGTAAAACAGTATATATCTTGGCCATCTTATGAAAGACAGAGACACATTTCAGAAGGTTTTGAAACAAACACTACTTTTCCAGGAATTGTTGGTGTAATGGATGGCACTCACATCCGGATTGTTAATTGTCCTGGGGGCCAGCAAGATTATATCAACAGAAAAGGGTTTGCATCCATTCAAGCACAACTCATTGTGGATGACAAATTAATGATAAATGATGTAAACGTGGGATGGCCTGGCAGTACCCATGACGCGAGAGTCTTGCGTAACTCTGGTATCTTTTATTATGCGGAAAACAATGGGAAAATCTTACAAAATCATTACATTATTGCTGATGGGGCCTATCCTTTGAAGTGGTGGCTTATGACTCCATTCAGGGATAATGGACGTTTAAATAATGCCCAAAGAAGATATAATAGAATATTTTCCTCAGCAAGACAATGTGTGGAAAGAGCGATAGGTCATTTGAAAGGACGATTCAGACGACTTCAAAATCTTCATGTTGGTTCTGTGACACACATGTGTAATTTAGTCATAAGTGCATGCATTTTGCACAACATGTGCATTATCTGCGACGATTACATCGATGACTTCATAGATATGACACAGGCTGAAGACATCAACCAATATCCAAATGTTTTCCAGAATGCTGCTGATGGAACTAACATAAGAGATAGACTTGTTGCCATTCTTTGAATATGCCATTTGAAAAATATTTGTCATTAAACTATGCTGACCTGAATGATTTAAGTACAGAAGATTTATGAAATATCAATATACAATTTGTATACTTTATAGAAAACATTTATTTAAATATCATTTTATGCAAGTTTACAAATGAAAAGAATTATGCCTATCACAAAATCAATCATCTTGAATGAAATTTTCATTTCAAGCTTGTATACATGCTAATATAAACTACTAACACTGGCTTATACTGCAAAAATGATTTGTAAATATTAATATTTTCATCAAATACAGGTTGAATTATCAAGATATGCTAGATATATAAAGTGTTTAACAAGTTTGATTTCTATGTCATTTGATCTTGAAAGTGATATTTCTTATCATTAAAAGGTAATGTGTCACATTTAAAAAAGATATTCATGGGGATGGGCCACATTGCTCGCCTGATCAAAAGCAGAAATCAGTACAAGTTTTAAAATATAGGTGGTCCCATCTTAGCTTCCAATGGGGTCCAGATTAAAAAAATTATTGAATATATGCTAACTGACGATGTTTCAGTATTTCTTTAATTAATCATGGCATTTGAATTTTTGGAAAAAGTTTTTCACCTATATAAAATTTTGCCCATTGTGGCAAGTTTAGTTGATATTGGTGTAGTTATTCTGGAGAAGTCATCAGAGTGAAAAGTTAACAGACAACATAGACAGACAGATGTTTCCATTAAATCAGAAAAGCTCTCTTGATCATTTTAAGGAAAACCATGATGATTAAAAATAGGAAAAACATCTTTGCATCATTTGTAAACGATGAGTACTTGAAATGATAATTTAACAAAAAATGTTTGAACACTTCTAGGTGCTTATTGCCTCACTGCCTGTGTAAAACAATATTCATAATAAAATGACAAAATGCACATATAACATATAAAAAACCCATCAATTCTGCTTTGGGACAAGCCAGATCCTGGCACATGATGTGCAAAAAACATTAAATGGCTTGAATGTATTTTACTTACAAAAGGCCCTGCACATGACACAAAAAGGTATGTAATTTAGAAATAAAAACAAAATTCTGAACCTGACTGGCATGATTAAAAAATTAATATCATTTGAAGTGCAATGCCCAGCAAATCACTAATTTTCATCCTTCTTCCCAGTTTGTTTTGACATCAATTCCAGAAATCTATCCATCCTTCGAAATTTTTCCTCATCTTGCTCTTTTTGAAATTTCAGTTGTTTTTCTTGCATATCTTGCTGTACGCTTTTGTAGTTATCTAGCCAGTCTATAAGCCTGTCTGTTCCAGATTTCTTGACTTTGCTGGCAGTCATCTTACCATGTAATATTTTGCGTTTTCTTATCTGGACTGCTTGTGAATCTGAATCTTCATCCGTGTCAGAGGCCGTGGTGTTTGGAGGGCAGTTTGGCACTGTGGCATCCTCTGTGGAACTGTCTGTCCGGGCCTTGCTTTTTGTGAAACTCTTAAAACTACTTGTGTCCACAACACATTCTGGCCGAGTACTGGGTTTGTTGCCAAACAAGTTGTTGAGCTCATCAAAAAATTTACACTTCTTCTGTTTTCCACTCCCACTCTTAGCATTTTTATCAACTACTGTTTTATAGTCTCTCTTAATACTTTTCCACTTATTGCTGCACTTTTCTCCGGTAACAAACATACCATTTTTGTTCATAGTGTCTGCAAGCTTGTTCCATAAAGCCTTATGTGTTTTACTGCCTCTAAATTCATCATCCATTTTAATTCTGAGATCAATCAACATTTTACTCTCTGTATCTTTCCATTTTTGTTGACCTAAAATTATTGCAAGGGTGTTAAATGTTAAAGAAATTATCAACAATGCCAGTGACCAAAATAATTATTCAAATTCACTATTTGAAGTACATGAGAGCTATCACTTACACATATCATAAATTATCTTAATTTTTAGTTTGGTTTTTGTTTTAAAAAAGAAAAAAAAGAAAAAATTCTTTGAATTTGCCCTGCATTTGTCGGAACCATTTTGAAGTTAATTAACTATAAGATCTAGTTTAATACCTGGCAAACTGCTGCTTGTATTGTCCTCTGTATAATCATCATCATCCTGGCTGCAATTTATATTGGCATCCATTCCTGCTTTTCGAAAATTGATTATTAATATATACTAGTAGTAAACTACACAAAACCACTTGTTGAATTGAAATGTTTTTTCATAGCATAGGCATAGGAACCAATGGGGTGGGGTTGGGGGGGGTAGCCCCCTCCCCCCCCTTTTTCGGGCAAAGATGGACTTAGTATAAGCATTGAACATTGCGGCGTAGGTTTAGCCCCCCCCCCCTTTCATTTTGTTTTGCTTGTCAGGTTTTTTGTAGGTCTAAAAAAAATTCAAACACTTAGCCCCCCACTTTTTTTGCTTCCGACGCCAATGCATTGCCATGTGTAATAAAAATTTTAAAAATATATTGTTGGATTTATTGAATAACATTCATTCAAGCTTACCTTCGGAACCACCTTCTCCCGCACTCTGACTCAATAACCCTTTCCAAATGAGATTCTTTACAGCTGGATCTGCATTGGACCAATATTTAATGTCAGATGCATTTTAATTACAATTTGATTGTGTAAGTAAGACTGAATTTTTAACTTTGGATTTTATTTTTACTAAGTTACTCAATGGTACAGACATTAGACGAATATGTAATCATATAATGTGTTTGGTGAGGCTATAATTTTTTCGTTGTCCGGTTTACAAAATAACACTGAATGCCAAATAAAATAGTACCTGTGTCAGGTGATGTTAAAGTTTCTACTAAATGGTCTGGACATTGAACGATAACATTTTCACCGGATGTCGTTACAAGTACATCAGAGCTACAAATATATATGAATTAATTTTGGATTACATTTACCACTTCAGATTTTTTTTAAAACTTAAAGCTCTCGAAATTCTTTGAGATAAAACATGTTATCCGTTATAAATTATATTAACTCAAATACTAACGATTGCAAAGGCATGGTTTCCTGTGTGATGGTCTTTCTGTGATTGGCCATTTTATGCACAACTGTTACAAAGGATTTCCGATGCTGCTGTTTCCCCTAATAGTATGGTATGGATCTCAAACTGCGAGCAGCTGGCATGAAATGACAAGTGGCAGTTGACACACCTTAGATAAATCCTGAAATCAGATTGTGTTTATTTTAAATTGAAACTTTCTAAACTGTATAACCTAATGGTAAAACAAAAAAATATAAATGTCAACCTTAGTTTTTGATAGTTTCATGAGCATTACAATTCTTACTTGTATTCTCCAGAATCTGTAGGCCCCTCTATAAAAATTGTTGTTTTCTTCCTATCCTCTTGCTCCGAGAGATATGCACAAACAAAACGGGATGGGGCTTTATGACAAATATAACAAGTCCACTTTATTGTGTCGATTTCTGTAGACATCTACCATGTAGAAAAAGGAATTTCATGCATATTTCGTGTATTTAAATATTCATGCAAACTAATGTCACTGAATTTACATGCAGGGCACAAAACTATTTTATTTGTAGTAATTTATGCTCTTAAACAGGCTTAGTAATCTAATTTCTATATAATTATTTATTTCAAAAAGAAGATAAACTATTTAAATTCCTTTCTTTCTCAATTGTATGCATTATTTATTTTGATACACTTACCATTAAATTTAAATTATCATTGGACAAAAATTTATCCCTTCAAAAAATTTAATCATTGTCATGTACCCTAATAAAACGATTTACACATTTTATTATATTTATTCCCGATCCCCTATATTGGAAGTTTTCTAAATTTTATAAATTATTAGGCGAAAATAGGCCAACTTTGACTAAAAAGTAATGTTATCAATAAAAATTGATTAAAAAGTACGTAATATGTTAGTAATAAAAAGTTTCCCCCACGATTCGTTTCATTCCAACCACAGCGCACATTACCGCATATCATAAAATAATTTCAATTATTAGTCAGAGGAATCTCAAGTTAACAAATTTGCTACTTATATCGAGAAAAAAGTCTATTCTTATTTCAGATTAGGATTATTTTTTTTACTACCGCTGGATGTCTTGTTTTCTACACAGCAGTATAATTATCATGCATTGTAAAGTTGATAAAATAGTTAAAAACAAAATCCACAAATCACCTCTCTAATCTTTGTCCGCCATTTTTGTTCTTTAAGTTCCTGCAATTGAGGTGGTGCAAAATTTTTGTTCCAGGAGCAAGTTCTTCTGGATTGTTCTTGACGTTTGGGTGACACAGATTTTGTTCTTGTTCCGAGAACAAACAAGAACATAGTTCTTGCTCTCGCCCAAAGACGCCCATGATGTTCCGTTTTCAGTAGCAAGGTCAAGATCTAGAACAGTACATCAGTCGACAACGTCAGCTATTAACACTTTCAATTTGTTTAGGGGAATAAACACTTAAAACAGAGCCCCAAAAAGGCGGCCACACCTTTAATCAACGTCCATGGAAGTTCTATTTTTCTTTCAATTTCTTACCACAGTGGAAAACCAGTGACTAAGTACATTTTTCCTGAGTCTATGTCATTAATATACGCATAAAATATAGAGTGATCCCGGGATTTTCACAAAACTTATAACTTGACCAAAATTTGACGTCTTCTAAAAACCTTAAGATGAACAATGAATTATCAACTAATAAACAAAATCTGCAGTAAAATCAGTAAATACACACACACAAATGTTTATAAAAGATCAAGCAATCTTAATAATGACACAATTTTCGTTTTCTATAACACAAAGGGCGGTTTTATTCTCATTTCAAGTATTAAGAATTTAAATGATAATAGACGCGTTGATGTCTCCCCCGCCTTTCCAAACATCCGTTTCTATGGCAACTTCCATAAAGTTACTATCACAAATATTTAAAATATTTTTTTTAATTCAAAAAGTGTCTATATTCTCATTTGTAGTTTTCAACCAATTTCACTTATAAATGAAAAAAATATAAAGAAATTCCACGAACTTTTGGATCAACCCTCGTATCATATCCAATTTATTTAGATTTTAGTTTCAATTCTAAAGAAACTGTTCAAGATATTTTCATAAAACTTTATGCACTAATACAAATTTTCATGCAGCATTAGTAATAATTAAATCCGGCGGGACATCCATGTCCTATAGACATATTTCTAGTTTTTCAAATCATCACCTCAAAGGCTAGGGTCAGGCCACAATTAGGAATCAAAGTTTTATTTAGGAATAAAAGGAAACAAATCTTCAAAATTCTTCTTTCCAAGAACAACAAGAGCATGATTAATATGGAAGCATTCTCAAGAGGTGTAGATTCAACTTTGTACAAATCATGACCCCCTGGGTAAAACGGAGGGGCCATTTTTTCCTGCCCCTTTTTGCCATCCACATGAAAATGGAAATTTTAAAACCATTTTACACATAAACAAAACAAACCAATCATTTTTCAAATGATCATGGTTTAAAGCTAATGCATAAAATATTTGAGAAGTTCTTGATAGCAGGATGATTAAACAATTATCAAATATATAAAAAAAAAACAAAGAAATTTCTACCCCCATTTGACCCCCGGGGCAAAATTAAAATGCCGAAACCTTACTGCACATCTACATGACACCACCAACCATCTCTTAAAACATGATTAGGCTACTGAGTCATATGTAAGAGGAATTCGGGGAAGACAGGGCTTTTTTATTAAAAACGTCATTTTTCGACCCCCATTTAACCCCCCGGGACAAAATCAACATTCCAAAACCTTACTGCACATCTACATGACACCATCAACCATCTCTTAAAACATGATTAGGCTACTGAGTAAAATGTAAGAGGAGTTCAGGGAAGACGGGGCTTTTTGCATAAAAAAAACATCATTTTTCGACCCCCATTTGACCCCCCGGGGCAAAATCAACATTCCGAAACCCTACTGCACATCTACATGACACCAGGAACCATCTCCCAAAAGATGATTAGGCCACTGTGTAATAGTAGAAGGAGTTCAGGGAAGACGTGGCTTTTTGAATTAAAAATGTCATTTTTCGACCCCCATTTGACCCCCCGGGCAAAATCAAAATTCCGAATCCTTACTGCACATCTACATGACACCAGCAACCATCTCCCAAAAGATGATTACTAGGCTACTGTGTAAAATGTAGAAGGAGTTCAGCAAAGAAAAGTGTGACAGACAGAAGGACGGACAGACGGACATGAGTAACAACAATATACCCGAACTTTCTTTAGAAAGTGTGTGTATAAAAATATTAAATAAATACACCATCTCGTCATCCAGTTGGAGAGACTGAGGCAATCAATTTTTTGGTGGCCGGTCATGCATGTAGTACAGTCCCTGAAACGTTCTACTTTCCCACCTGAACGGTGAACAAACACAGAGCGAACGGTAAGTGAACCATGTGTGAACGCTTAATGCAACTTGGTAAACGATGTATGAACGGTGAACGGTGAGTGAACGCAGAACGCGAACGGAGCGCGAACACGAACGCAAAGTGAACAGTGAATGAAAGATGAATGATTTATTCAGAATGCCTCCGATCTTTTCCTTGCATTGTAATTAATCTATTAAAAAAAAAAAAAAAAAAAGAAATTAATCTATTATTCTATAATTCTAATTTCAGGTGCTAAAATATAAATATAAAACTAGATATCATTGAGATGGTGGCCATCTCAAAGGGCCCCGCTTTCAATAATGAACATGAAAATGTAAGGTAGTTTAAAAGGGTTTATTTTGAAGAGAAACATTTGTGTAATACAGTAAAAGTCATTTAGTACAATTTCCTGGATACTGCGAATTTACAGATATATATCAAAGCTATCTTGTATTTATATAAATTTACTGGAATTAAAGGAAAAAAATTATGCACCAAACAAAGATTTTACACAGAGAGGCTAATTCTGACCATGACCTACAAACTTCGACGAAGGTCACTGCACATCCATTGACCAGTGGAAGTCTAGCTGTGAGTGAAGTAATAGTTAGATTGGGCCAAGGAGAGAGAAGATATGCTCCGGACAAGGAATTTTCATATAATTCTGCTATAACCTTGACCTTTGACCTAGAAATATGGTTCAAGGTCACTGCACACCGGTTACCCAAAGGCACTCTGTGGGTGAAGTATGAGCCATATTGGGCCAAGAAGAGAGAAGATATGCTCCGAACAAGGATTTTTCATATAATTCTGCTATGACCTTGACCTTTAACTTACAAACATGGTTCAAGGTCACTACAAACCAGATACGTAAAGGCACTCTGTAGGTGAAGTATGAGCCAGATTAAGCCAAGGAGAGAGAAGATATGCTCCGGACAAGGATTTTTCATAAAATATTGCTATGACCTTGACCTTTGACCAAGAAACATGATTCAAGATCACTGCACACCGGCTACCCAAAGGCACTCTGTGGGTGAAGTACGAGTCAGATTGGACCAAGGAGAGAGAAGATATGCTCCAGACAAGTATTTGTCATAAAATTCTGCCATGACCTTGACCTGACCTAAAAACATGGTTCAAGGTCACTACACACCAGCTACCCAAAGGCACCCTCTGGGTGAAAAATGAGCCATATTGGGCCAAGGAGAGAGAGAAGATATGCTCCAAACAAGGATTTTTCATATAATTCTGCTATGACCTTGACCTTTGACCTAGAAACATGGTTCAAGGTCACTGCACACTGATTACCCAAAGGCACCCTGTAGGTGAAGTATGAGCCAGATTGGGCCAAGGAGAGAGAAGATACGCTCAGGACAAGGATTTTTCATATAATTCTGCTATGACCTTGACCTTTGACCTAGAAACATGGTTCAAGGTCACTGCAACTGGTTACCCAAAGGCACTCTGTGGGTGAAGTATGAGCCAGATTGGGCCAAGGAGAGAGAAGATATGCTCTGGACAAAGATTTTTCATACAATTCTACTATGACCTTGAACTTTGACCTATGAAACATGGTTCAACGTCACTGCACACCGGCTACACAAAGGCACTCAGTTGGTGAAGTACGAGTCAGACTGGGCCAAGGAGAGATAAGATATGCTCCGGACAAGAGATTTCGGACGGACGGACAGCCGGACAGACAGACTGATCACTATAGGGCGCCCGCCAAGCAGGACCCTAATAATAGATAAATAAATAAATAATAAAAACAATTTTTTTCTGCACGTGCCTATGTTTTAAATTGATATTTTAATAACATGATTTTAATTGCCGTAAAACATATGTATATGTTTTGTTACCAAATGCGTATAGTTTAAATATAAACTAGAACTGTCCAAACAGGACAAAATACCCCCCGCTGGGTTTTTCAGAAGTAAGTTTTTCCATAATAAAGATATGTATCTAACATGAATTATGAAATTTTTCTTCCAGTGATCTTGAACTTCATGGCAATCTTTGTGTGAAATGAGAACCTACCAAGTTTATCCATAAAAAAGTTATGGACCAGACACAAATTATGAAATTTTACTTCCAGTGACCTTGAACTTCCCCAAATGACCTTGGGTCAAGGCCATGACACACCCTTAATGGGTCATGGCAATCTTTGTGTGAAATGAGAACCTACCAAGTTTATCCATAAGAAAGATATGGACCGGACACGAATTATGAAATTTTTCTTCCAGTAACCTTGAACTTCCATAAATGACCTTGGGTCAAGATCATGATGTTCCCCAAATGACCTTGGGGTCAAGGTCATGACACACCTTTGGGCCATGTGCAATCTTTGTGTGGAGTAGTAGATTCTAATATCCCTCCGTAAGAAAGATATGGACCGGACACGTTTGCACAGACAGCTAGACAGACGTACGGACAGACGGACTACAGACAAAATGTGATCAGAAAAGCTCACTTGAGCCTTCAGCTCAGGTGAGCTAAAAAATAGGACCGATCGAAGTTAAACCCCTCTGCCCGAAATAGGATTTTCGGGCATGGACAATTTTTTCTTGGCTTGTCAAGTTTTTCCGGGTAAATAATTTTTTTCTGACTGACCTCCTCTTTCAAAAGAAGATGTTACTTCACTGGAATCAGCTGCAATTTTTTTAACCATTCCAGGGTCAGAATTCTATTGCAAAAATCTACCAGTCGCTCATCTAAATCAATTGATCCCGTGGGGATCCGGGTTAGAATAGGTCCTCAGTACCCCCTTGCTTGTCGTAAAAGGCGACTAAATGGGGCGGTCCTTCGGATGAGACCGTATAAACCCAGGCCCCGTGTCACAGCAGGTGTGGCACGATAAAGATCCCTCCCTGCTCAAAGGCCGTAAGTGCCGAGCATAGGCCTAAATTTGCAGCCCTTCACCGGCAATAGTGACGTCTCCATAT